GAGATTACTTGTAGGATCGATGGTGAGGTCGAAAGTGGGATCGATAGTGAGGACGATCGTAAGGCTGATCGTGAGACCAATAGTGGAGTCGACTCAGTGAGATCGAGAGTGAGATCGATCGTGAGATCGCTCGTGCGATCTATAATTCGATCGATTGTGAAATCGATTGTCAGATCGATTGTGATGTGAATAATGAGTTCGATGGTGAGGCCGATCGATACAGAGATCTGCCAGAAACCTGGGGTCTCGGAAACCTGGGAAACGCCCAGTGGAATCGGCCCAGAACCCGGAACTGGGCACCGGGGAACTCGGAACTGGGAACCCAGGAGCCCGGCGGGCTACCGAAATCGGCCGCCCCCTTTCGCCAAATCCTTCAAGATCCTCTAGGGCCCCTGAACTGCTAGCACGGACTGTGGAATGAGAGTCTGAAGTTCGGATTAATAATTCCAGAATTGCCCTCTCCTCAACAGATGCTGCATGTGGCGCCGCGACGTGAAACGGAGGACCGCTGGGCGGGCCAGAAGCGACCAGCGCAGGTCGAGGAACATTCAGAGTGAGGAGGAGCCCTCCAGCATGGCCGGAGGTCGAGCCTCCTGTCTGCAGGCGGCTTCCAGCGTGCGCGGGGGGGGGGGATGGGGAGAAGAAGAGGGAGAATGACGAGTTGCTGAGGGGGATTTTGGGGCTCTTGGGGGGCTCTGGAGGATTTGTCAACACAGATCTCGAATGTCAGGCTTTTGCCCGCGACGGTCCCGAACCCATCCCCGAATTCAGCCCCTGGTTGCGGGTCGCCTCGTGGCCGCCCTGGGGGGGGGGGGCCTGGAAACGCAGGTGGCAAAGAGAGAACGTTTGCCGTGTCCTTGTCCCCGTGCGGCCGGCCTCTCCCTCGCTCGCCCGCGCTCAGTGTCACAGCTCGGGCTTCCGCGACCTGGCTGCCGCTCCGACCGCGGCGAGACTGATCCCACCTCCGCTGAAACGGAGATCTTGACCACGACGCCTAACGCTTGGGGTCTCAAGGGGGCTCCACAGGGTCCATCGCGTCGCCTGACACTGCCTCGCGCCCCGCAGTTGCGGATCAGAGCGAGAGAAGCCATGGGGGGACAGGCAGGGAAGTCGGAAGCGGAGCCACGACCGGGCAACTTTCTTCAGGCAGTCCGCCTCCCCAGATTGCCCTCCTGGCTTGCCCTCCCAGCAGCTGCGCCGCCTGCGTGTCTACAGGCAGCGTCGCCCACGCGCGCGCCAACGTTCTGCCTGGAGGAAGGCGCGCGCATCCGCCGCCCCGTTCCGCAGCGATGCCTGGCCTCGTTGGCGCGACGAGGGGTGCGCAAGAGCTAAATGGGGGGGGTAGCCGCCACGGCCCTCCTGGCGCGCCCTGCGGCATCGCTGCAGCTGCTCGGGCCACGCGCGCGCCGGGATCACGCGAGGCCTCGCAGGCCGCCCAGTCTGACGCAGAGATCTGGGAGGGTCTGACGCGGGCCCCCGATGTATACACCACTGCCAAGCGGCCACTGGAAAAGAACAAGTCCTGCGCGCGACCGCCATGACAGGGGTGCCACTGCGTGCCCCCGCCAAGCGATTCAGATCGGATGCGCGGGCCCGCATCAGATCCGATGCGCGGGCCCGTCGCTGAGTCGACCCCCGCAAGCTCGACTCCAGGAACGAAGACTGGCCTGCCACCAACAAACATCAGGGGCCCCTGTTGATAGCAGAATGGAGGAAGATCCTCTGCACGACGGACATTCTCGCTGGTCATGACCGCCATCGGGCGTTTCCAGCAGCGACGGAAGCGTCTCGGATCGGCGGCACTGGCCGGAGGCCACTACAGTATCCATGTGTTCTGGGATTTTGTGAGCTTCGCTCGCTCGCGCACTCTCGCGCGTGCCAGCCCCGGAGGCCGTCCCGAAGCGGGGAGCGCGCGGCGGAGCCTCAGCTCCACGCGTCTTCTTCTCGCAGCACACTGCGCTGCACACTCCTGGGCTGCACTCGTGAGCCTCTAGGCAGGAAAGGGAGGAGGGATGCGGAACATGACGACGGGTAGGTGGGCGAGGCCCTGGGGAGGTTCTGAACTAGAGAGTTAGGGGGCGCTGAATGTCGTGGGGATATGTTTTTCTCACCGGCCCTGTGGACGTGAGTGGTCCAGGGAGCTAGTTCTGCTTACCCTAGTGTTTCCCTTCGGGGGAGGTTTCCCCTCCCCCTCCCCCCTCTGGGTCTGAACAGGATGGGGGGCGCGAGGTGTTGAAGCGTCCAAGATGGCCCAAGATGCTTCCAAGTGGGCCCCAGAGAGCCCAGCATGGCCCCCCGATCGCTCAAGGCAGCCAAAACAATTTGCTATAGAGCTTCCAGCAAGCCTTCGAGAGCCTTCAATACCGCCTCAGGACGGCCCAGGGGATCTTGGAACGTGAAGGGGTTCTTGAGTACCCGCGGGCCTCTCAATGCTCCTCTCCTCCTCGCTCTCCCCCTCCCTCCAATCACGTCGCCGTTTCATCCTCCCTCCTCCTTCGCTCCTGCTCCCTCCGACCAAGTGCTCCCCGCATCACCGCCGAGATGCCTCTCCCCCTGCTGCCTCCTCGCCACTGTTCCTGATGGTCCTCCCCCCCAAACGCCCTCCACAACTGCACAGTGTGAGCAACTCTGTGCTGCTGTCCCTCCTTGACGCTGCGCTGCGTGCGGCGGTGCCCCCCTCCCGCATGCAAGCCCCCCACTGTAGGCCTACCCACCGGCTTCTCTTCTCGCTCTGGGATGCCTGGACCGGTGGGTGTGCGCCGACCGGCCTTCCCCCGGGAACCCCATGGGTCCCTTTGGTCGTGCCTACCCGCCTTCCTCGGGTTCCCGAGGTTTCCAAGTCTTGCTTCCGTTCCGTGTTCGGGGCGCTGCCAGGCAAGGCCTGTCAAGAGACGCGAAGAAGTGCCAAACGATGCGAAGCGATGCAAAGCAGTGGCAAGCAGCGCCAGGCAATGCCAAACAGTACCAAGACACGCCAGGAAATGCTCAGCAATGCCAAGATATACAAAGCAATGCGCAGAAACGAAAGTCACTCCTGAGCGATGCCAATCAATGCCTAGCATCGCCCAGCAAGGCAGAGAAATGCCAAGCAAGGCAAAGAAACACCAAGCAACGCCACAAAGCAATGCAACGTAAAGCTATGCCACGCCATGTCAAGCAATGCAATGCCGAGCAAGGTCAAGCAATGCTAAACAACGCCAAGAAATGTCAAGAGATGTACAGCAATGCCAAGCAATGCAAATCAACGCAAAGCAATGTCAAACAACGCCACGCGACGCCAAGCACTGACAAGCAACGAAAAGCGATTCAAAGCTAAGCGAGCCAATGCAATACCAAGCAACGCAATGCAATGCCGAGCAATGCCAAGCAATGGGGGTCGCGTCATCTTGCCTCTTACTAACTACATGTAGGATGCCAAATCATGGTGCTCCTAACTGTGTGCACGTCAAATCGAACCGTCGTCGGTTCTGCCAATAACGTCATCTCGCAGTAGGGTTGGCCGGATTTCAGGATCACCGCTTTGCCCCCTTCGTTCCAGATGTTCGGTGCCGCCCCAACGCGGACCACATTTCTGCATCCGATCCGTTTCTCGTCGCTACCATCCCTTTCTTGTTCCCTCCTGCGCCGTCCCCTGGTCCTCCTGCTCCTCTTGCCACTCCTGCTCCTGCTGCTGCTCATCCCTCCTCTTCCTCTTTTTCCTCCTGCACGTCCTCCTGCCCATCCGCCACCTCCCCCATCCTACCGATCCAGAGTGCAACGCCGCTCCTTCTCTGACTGCGCATCTCACGACGGGGTAGTTTTTTGGCTAGGTCGGGCATGTCCCCCTACAGGCGGATTTTGAAAAAAATGCAAATAGCCAGAACACATTCAAGATTAGGCAGAAGTAATCGAAACATCGTCCCCAGAATTTTGTTCTGACTATTTCTGAGCCTTCCTCCAGTAAGAGGGACACGCCCGACTCAATTTCGGGGCATCAAGGTCACCTGGGCCACACCAGCCAGCGGACAGAAGAGTTAAGTCGGGCCTGTCCCCCTACAGGGGGATGTTCGACGAAAAATCAAAATGCACCAAAAATACGCAAAGAATAATCCAAAAATAGTCTGGTGATTATTGTTTGGGCATTTTTTGACCATTTTGGAGCATTTGTGGGGTATTTTCAATTCTTCGTCGAAAATCCCCCTGGAGGGGGACAGGCCCGACTTCACAGAAGAGGCGCCAGCACCATGGCCAGAGAAGGCCTTGGAGGGGCAGGGCGGCAGGTCTGGCGCGAGCGCACCTTGCTTGGCTTCCCCCCCCCCCCCCTCCCCTCCTACCTCCTGCTCCTCCTTCCTTAGAAGAAGAAGAAGAAGAAGAAGAAGAAGAAGAAGACAAACAAGAAGAAGAATAATAAGAAAAATAAGAAGAATAAGAAGAAAAAAAATTGGGCGCTCCGCGCGGATTTCTTGGATCTGCGCTGGGCCCCCCTCCCTGGCGCGCGGGGCGCGCCGTGGACTGCGCCGGAGGCGCCGCTGGGGGCCCCGGTGCGGATCTAAGAGATCCGCGCGGAGCGCTGAAAGTTTATGTTTACGGCGTTTTTCTTCTTCGAGTCCCCCCTCTTCTCCCCGCCCCCTCCCCCCCTCTCCTTCCCTCCCCCCCTCACCCTCCCCACCCCGCCGCCTTGCGCCCTCGTCCCGTCTCCGCCACGCCCTATCCGACCAACTGACCACCGATGCGGCGGCCACCACGCACCACGACGGCGGCCATACGACGGCCTCAGACCCCCGACGTCATGATTTTTTCATGACGCGACCCCCACAGGTCGGGACCCATTCCCCGGGACCGGTTTTTCATCCTGAGTCGTTTTTTGACGGTCCCGAGGCCCGGCGAGGGCCCCCAGAGGCCGAAAATAGTGAAAAACCTCCCGTCGTGATTTTTTCATGACCCCAGGGGGTCTGGGTAGCAGCACCAACGGACACCACGAAGACGAAACGTCGACGTCTGCCCGGGCCCCGCGGGCGCGCCTGGAGGCACTCCGCCCCGGGCTCGGGCTCCACCTCGGCCTCGGCGGCCCGGGGGGCTGCCTCGCCGGGGGCGCGGCCGCCGAGCGCAGCAGGGCGGCGGCGGGGTGCCGACGGCGACCATGCCGACGACGGCCGCCGCACTCGGCGACGACGACGGCGGTGCGCTGCGCGCTGGCGCGGGCACCGGCGGCGACGAGGGCGGTGGCGCAGGCGGCGTCGGCGACGCGGCGCGGGGGGGGGGGTCGGGCGGCGGGGCCTGGAGGCGCTCCGGCCCGGGCTTGGGCTCGGCCGGGGCCTCGGCGGCCTGGGGGGCTGCCTCTGGCGACGGGGGGCGGGGACGGGCTGCGGGCGCAGGGGGAGGTCGGTCACGGGGGGGGGTGCTGGTGAGGTCAAGGTCCACAGGAGAGGTGCAAGGCATGGATTAGATCGGGCATGTCCCCTTACAGGCGGATTGTGGACGAAGAATAGAAAAGTACGCAGACAGCAATTCGAGAATAGCCACACGATGCTCAAAAAAATCGTCCCCTGACTGAAGAGAGACATGCCCGATTTAAGGCAAGGCTGCAGGACCCCTGAAGAGTCCCAATTTGCCATGCCGGGCTGCTCGGGCGTCAACCCCAGCTCAGGACGGGCCGCGGGAAGCAGGGACGCAAGGGCAGCCTTGATGGAGCAGCGCGTCCTTGCTGCTTGTGGCTGAGTGGGCCCTGGAAACGACAAGGCCGTTGTTTCACCGGTTCCGTTTTGCCGTGTTTTTGCTTGTTCCGACGCAATGTTTTACCGGTTCCGTCGCCGTTGTTTGACCGGTTCTGGCTCTGGTTTCAATCCTGGAGCCGTTTTTGTGCCGTTTCCGGTCGCTGTTTTTTTGCCGCTTCCATTTTCAAGGGACATTTTTGGGGAAACGGTGAAACAACGGCCCTGCCGTTTCCGGGGCCCACGAAGGCTTGTGGATGTTGACTGTGTGCCGAGCCGAAGGGATGTCGCGAGGCAAGCCGAGTGCCACAGCGCTTGCCTCCCGAAGCGTGCCGCCGAGGACGTGCGAAGCAGGGGGGGCAACCGGGGCGGAGCAGGGCGCGGCGAGGAGCAGAGACCCAGGGGCTGTGCGCGGGGCCCCCGTGGCGCACTCGGCCATGCGCAGAAGCAGCGCGGCGGCAGCCAGGAAGGCGGCCCAGGCGAACGAGCTCGTGGGGGGGCACCTGCACGGCAGGTGGGCACCAGCTCCCGCCGCATCATCATCATCATCATCATCATCATCATCATCATCATCATCATCATCATCATCATCATCATCATCATCATCATCATCATCATCATCATCATCATCATCACCACCATCATCATCATCATCATCATCATCAGCAGCATCATCATCAGCAGCAGCAGCATCATCATCATCATCATCATCATCATCACCACCACCATCATCATCATCACCATCATCATCACCATCATCATCATCGCCTCTGCAGCGCCGGGCACCTTCAGCGCGGGCACCAGCTCCCGCCGCCGCGCGGATCTCTCCGCCCGGAGCGATGGCGGCCCTCTGGTCGCGCGGGTCGCTCGGCATCGACCGGCTCGGGGCCACCTGCGGCGTTCGACCTCGGATGCCCGCGCGGAGGTCGCCGCCGCGCCGACACGGCACGAGGCAGCCATGCGGGCCGAACGAGGCAGAGGGCGGCGAGCGGCCCAACGAAGCCAGCCAGCGCAGCGGATTGCGGCGACCTGCCAGCAGGCAGGCGGCAGCAGACAGTCGGGCACCAAAGTAGACAGGCTTGGGGAATCTGGGAAGAATTCGCGGAAGAAGGCACCATCATGTTATGTTAGATTGGGGGTCCCAACACCGTGTGGTGACAGACCCGGCGGTGACCTCGAAATCCAACAAAGACCTCACCGCAGGGTCCGTCACCACACGGTTTTGAAACCTCGGAGGCCCAAGTCGCCCGAGACATCCTCGAAAAACGACATAAGTCCCAAAACCGCGCGGTGACCTCGAATCCCCACCGACTCACCACACGGTGTGATCACCACCCCGCTTGGGGGCCCCCGATTATATCGAAGTCCAAATTCATGCCCGGGGCCTGTCCTGGGGTGCGTGTCCGGACAATAGCTTCGAAGAGCAGCTCCCATCGTGGGCGACTAGAAGCCACGGGGAGGCCAAACAAAAGGCAAAAAAACGACCCTGAACTCCGACCCTCCGAACTTCGAATCATAGAATAAGAAACAACTGCATAAACGATGAACCCAAGAAGGACCCCTAACCCTTTGGGATGAGGACATAAATTAGGAGGGCCAGGAACATTAGGGATAGGGGGTCTTTTCTGCAGATGTATCGAACCAAACCGTCCGGATCGATTATCCCTAATGCGAAGAGGGGGACCTCAGTGAGGCTACGTCTTCATCGTGTTATTAGGGTTAGGGGTTCTATTGTCCTCCATGAACAAACATAAGCTGTTGGCGCTCCGCGCGGATCCAGAGGCGGCGCTGGAGGCGCCGCCCGGGGGGGGGGGGGGGCAGCGCAGATTCAAGAAATCCGCGCGGCGCGCCCAGAAAGTTTATGCCTGTAGCCGTTTTTCTCCTTCAAAACCACCCCGCTTCTCGGGCGGGTGGCAATAGGGGGGTGACCCAAACGGGGGGAGTGAAGAAGAGGGCTCTACAGGGGGCCCTTTAGAGCCCCTTTTCGAGCCCGCTGGTGCCCCGAAGGGACCCCTGAAGGGCCTTTTTCTTCACCCCCCTTTGGGCCACCCCCCATGACAGCAGGGACCCGACCACAGGAGGCTTTCCACAAGAAACCCCACCCTGAGACCCCAGGGCGCCCACTGATTTCTGGCGTGGGAAAAGTCACGCCTTCCACAGCAAAACTACCGAAAACCAAGAAACCCAGGGCACCCTGGAGGCAAGCAGGGTGTTTTTTTTTCCCAGCCCTCCTGCGTTGGGTTCTTGCTTTGGATACAACACTGCTCGTGCGAACCTTCCCACCCACCCCCCGTCCCTCTCTTCCCCCCTGCCTTCGCTCGTCGCTGCGTGCCAGCTGGGGGGCTGCGATCTGTGAAACTGTCGCCACTTTCGAAGCCTGCTGGGGGGCCCAGCACAGTGGGTACCCACGGCGGACTCAAATTTGACCTCGCCATCCCTGGGGGGCTGCGATCTGTGAAACTGTCGCCACTTTCGAGGCCTGCTGGGGGGCCCAGCGCAGTGGGTACCCACGTCGGACTCAAATTTGACCTCGCCATCCCTCGGGGGCTGCGATCTGTGAACACTTTCGAGGCCTGCTGGGGGGCCCAGCACACTGGGCACCCACGGCGGACTCAAATTTGACCTCGCCACCTTTGGGGGGCTGCGATCTGTGAAACGGTCGCCACTTTCGAAGCCTGCTGGGGGGCCCAGCACAGTGGGTACCCACGGCGGGCTCAAACTTGACCTCGCCATCCCTGGGGGGCTGCGATCTGTGAAACCGTCGCCACTTTCGAAGCCTGCTGGGGGGCCCAGCACAGTGGGTACCCACGGCGGACTCCAAATTTGACCTCGCCACCCCTGGGGGGGCTGCGATGTGTGAAACTGTCGCCACTTTCGAGGCCTGCTGGGGGGCCCAGCACACTGAGTACCCACGGCGGACTCAAATTTGACCTCGCCATCCCTGGGGGGCTGTGATTTGTGAAACTGTCGCCACTTTCGAGGCCTGCTGGGGGGCCCAGCACACTGAGTACCCACGGCGGACTCAAACTTGACCTCTCCATCCCTGGGGGGCTGCGATCTGTGAAACTGCCGCCACTTTCGAGGCCTGCTGGGGGGGGGGGCCAGCACAGTTGTCGGAAATTTCGCCATCCCGATCTGTGAAACTGTCGCCACGTTCGAGGCCTGCTGGGGGGCCCAGCACAGTTGGCCACGGCGGACCAAATTTGACCTCGCCATCCCTGGGGGGCTGCGATCTGTGAAACTGTCGCCACTTTCGAGGCCTGCTGGGGGGCCCAGCACACTGAGTAGCCACGGCGGACTCAAATTTGACCTCGCCATCCCTGGGGGGCTGCGATCTGTGAAACTGTCGCCACTTTCGAGGCCTGCTGGGGGGCCCAGCACACTGAGTACCCACGGCGGACTCAAATTTGACCTCGCCATCCCTGGGGGGCTGCGATCTGTGAAACTGTCGCCACTTTCGAGGCCTGCTGGAGTGCCCAGCACAGTGGGTACCCACGGCGGATTCAAATTTGACCTCGCCATCTCTGGGGGGCTGCAATATGTGAAACTGTCGCCACTTTCGAGGCCTGCTGGGGTGGCCAAGCACAGTGGGTACCCACGGCGGACTCAAATTTGACCTCGCCATCCCTGGGGGGCTGCGATCTGTGAAACGGTCACCACTTTCGAGGCCTGCTGGGGGGCCCAGCACAGTGGGTACCCACTGCGGACTCAATTTGGACTTCGCCATCCCTGGGGGACTGCGATCTGTGAAACTGTCGCCACTTTCGAGGCCTGCTGGGGGGCCCAGCACACTGGGCACCCACGGCGGATTCAAATTTGACATCGCCATCCCTGGGGGACTGCGATGTGTGAAACTGTCGCCACTTTCGAAGCCTGCTGGGGAGCCCACCACAATGGGTTACCCACGGCGGATTCAAATTTTACCGCGCCATCCCTGGGGGGCTGCGATCTGTGAAACTGTCGCCACTTTCGAGGCCTGCGGGGGGGCACAGCACAGTGGGTACCCACGGCGGGCCCAAATTAGTCCTCGCCATCCCTGGGGGGCTGCGATCTGTGAAACGGTCGCCACTTTCGAGGCCTGCTGGGGGGCCCAGCACACTGAGTACCCACGGCGGACTCAAATCCTCGCCACCCCTGGGGGGCTGCGATCTGTGAAACTGTCGCCACTTTCGAGGCCTGCTGGGGGGCTCCACACAGTGGGTACCCACCGCGGACTGAAATTCGACCTCGCCATCCATGGGGGGCTGCGATCTGTGAAACTGTCGCCACTTTCGAGGCCTGCTGGGGGGCCCAGCACACTGAGTAGCCACGGCGGACTCAAATTTGACCTCGCCATCCCTGGGGGGCTGCGATCTGTGAAACTGTCGCCACTTTCGAGGCCTGCTGGGGGGCCCAGCACACTGAGTACCCACGGCGGACTCAAATTTGACCTCGCCATCCCTGGGGGGCTGCGATCTGTGAAACTGTCGCCACTTTCGAGGCCTGGCCCAGCACAGTGGGTACACACGGCGGATTCAAATTTGACCTCGCCATCCCTGGGGGGCTGCGATCTGTGAAACTGTCGCCACTTTCGTGGCCTCCTGGGGGGCCCAGCGTAGTGGGTACACCCCGCGGACTCAGATTAGACCTTGCCATCCCTGGGGGGCTGCGATCTGTGAAACTGTCGCCACTTTCGAGGCCTGCGGAGGGGGCACAGCACAGTGGGTACTCACCGCGGACTCAAACTACACCTCGCCATCCCTGGGGGGCTGCGATGTGTGAAACTGTCGCCACTTTCGAGGCCTGCTGGGCAGCTCAGCACAGTGGGTACCCACCGCAGACTCAAATTAGTCCTCGCCACCCCTGGGGGGCTGCGATCTGTGAAACTGTAACCACTTTCAAGGCCTGCTGGGGGGCCCAGCACAGTGGGTACCCACGGCGGACTCAAATTAGACCTCGCCATCCCTGGGGGGCTGCGATCTGTGAAACCGTCGCCACTTTTGAAGCCTGCTGGGGGGCCCAGCACAGTGGGCTTCCCGCACGTCTTTCTCCTGCTCTTCGTTCCCGACTCCCCATGTCCTCTTCGAGCCTGCAGTTGTCGCCCCTCGTTCTTGTATGGTTCTCCTGCGCATCATGCCATAGGCGCGTGTCCCAAATAGCTTACATATCAAACAACGGATCCTGCAATTTGATTGTCCATGCAAGTTTTGGCCAACTCCTCGTTTCCCATGATACAAATGGGTTGGGTACGTCACAGGATAATTTTGGCATGCGTTTCCACTATATGGTCGTTGGGTGTCTGGGAGAGGAGGAAGAGAAGGGGAGGAGGAGGAGGAGGAAAAGGGTGAGGAGGAGGAGGAGGGGAAGGAGGAAAAGGAGGAGGGTGAGGAGGAGGAGGAGGAGGAGGAGGAGGAGGAGGAGGAGGAGGAGGAGGAGGGAGGAGGAGGAGGAGGGAGAGGAGGAGGGGGAGGAGGAGGAGGGGGAGGAAGAGGAGGAGGAGGAGGGTGTTTCTTGGCACGGGCCCCCACGGCACCACCCGCCCGAGCTCCAGCAGGGCCCCGCGCCTCCCCGGTCCCCCCCGCCCCCGCGCGGCCTCGGGGAGAGGTGGAGCGCCGGAGGCTCCAGGAGGGAGCCCGCCCGGCTCGCGGGGGCCTGAGCGCCGCGCGCCGCCTTCGTCGTCGTAGTCGTCGCCGTCGTCGTCGCCGTCCTCGTCGTCGTCGTTTTCGTCGTCGTCGTCCTCGTCGTTCTCGTCGTCGTCGTCCTCTCGTCCTAGTCATCGTCCTCGTCGGCGTCGTCTTCGTTGTCGGCGTCGTCGTCGCCGTCATTGCCGTCGTCGACATCGTCGTCGCCGCCGTCACCGTCGTCGTCGTCGCCGCCGCTTCCGCCGCGACCGTAGAGTCAACATCGACGTTGCCGTCCCCAGGCTTCCACTGGCTCGAAAGAGTCGGCGATCCTCGGAAGGTGTGTTGGCGTCACGTGTGCTTGTCTGCCACAGTCCTTGTTGCAGGTTGTATCTGCTGGGGTCGGAGGCCCCCTTCATGCAGGAGAGAGCATAGCACGGCAGAGGATGAGCAATGCAGCTAGGTCCTTTTTGGCTTAGATGATGATGACACACATCAATAAATATCGCTACATGGTTGCGGAGCTCGGTTCCCAGCCCACGGGGGCGGAGCTCGCGCGCCAAGCTTCCGCGCCACTGGCACGGACAGGGATGGCGGCCATCGATGTGGTCGACGTGCGGACGGACCTGCGGCCGCAGAGGTTCGACGGCACGGGCGGAGAGGTGGGAGTCTCCGAGTCGAGGCCTGCACGGCGCTGCTGGGCCTCGAGGATCTGATGACGGAGGCGGCACAGCGGCGGGACCCACTCCTGAACGACGCGCTCGGCGAGCGCGCAAGGGCGATTCAGTGCACGGCCCTGGCACCTGCTGATCACCCAGAGCGACGGCAAGGCCATGGGAGTGGTGAAGCTCGCTCGCAAGAATAGTCTAGAGGCTTGGCGGCAGCTCAAGAGAGAGTGCGAGAGCAGGACAGGCAACCGTTGGACGGCGATGCTAAGGTTCATCCTGAACCCGCAAGGCAAGTGGGCCAAAGACAGGGAGTCGGGCATCGACTTCTTCCAGTCTCTCACGGCGTGGGAGGCCATCGTAGCCGAGTGCGTGGACCAGAGTGGCGAGGCCGCCTCGGACAACGTCAGAGTGAGCGTGCTGCTGGAGCACGCGCCCGAGCCACATCGAGAAGCTCTACGACAGGCCCCAGAGGAGGTCAAGCTCACGTTCGCGGCGGCTCGGAGCCACATCCGAGGACACTACAATAAGGGACGCACCTCCACGCACGTTCCAGATACTGGAGGAGCTGTGCCAGTGCAGGTCGAGGCAGTACGAGGTGACCCTCCGACAGGCAAGGCTGCTGGCAAGACGGACAAGTCTGGTGGCAAGCTGGGAAAGACTCCGAAGGGCAAGGACCCGAGGACGAAGGGCAAGAATAGGGACGGTGGCAAGGCTGGACACGGGAAGCCCTCACACCATCACTCAGAGTACTTGGACGGCGAATGCGGCTACTGTGGCAAGTGGGGTCACAAGCGCCGGGACTGCAGGTAGAAGAAGGCCGACGACGCGAAGAAGCCCCAGGACGCAATGAACACACAAGCAGATCAGGGTGAAGCAGCTGCGTCAGGAGGTCAACAGCCTGGCGCAGTGTGTGCGGCGTCGGGCAGCTACGACGGCGAGCCCGACGGCTGGGTGTTCGCGATCTCGGCGAGCTCGCACGGGCAGGTGGCGAAGATCGACGGCTCCGTCCTGATCGACAGCGGCAGCGACGACCACCTGAGCAGGCACAAGTTCGTACCAGAGGCCCCAGTCAGCAGTGCAGTCGACGCGCCGAGGCTCTTTGATGTTCGGCGGAGGCCACTACCCACAGCAGGCTTACAAGGAGTCGAGATGACGATGCAGGGGGGCATCAAGGCGACGGCGGACTTCCTCGTCGCCGACGTGACCGACGACTTGCTGAGCATGGGCAAGTTGCTCGGGCAGGGCTTCAGATTCGACCTCGGCTTGGAGGGCGGGCTCTGTATGACGAAGGGCCATCGCAGCGTGCAGCTGGAGCCCAAGCGCAACAGCCTCAGGCTCCCTGACCGTGTCCGTGGGCCCCGCGGAGGCAGGTCACTGCCGAGGCGCCGCTGAGCAGCCAGGGACGGCGCCCGTCCTCAACGCGGACTGCTCGGTCGGCGCGCTCAGGGCGAGGCCGAGGGAGCTGTTCATGCCCGTCCACGGTTAGGTCGGGCATGTCCTCCTACAGGGGGATTTTGGACGAAAAATACAAACTGCCAACAAATACTTCGAAGTAGTCAAAAATAGTCAACAAATCGTTCCCTGACGATTTTTTTCAAACATATTTTTGCATATTCCTCCTGTAGAGAGACAGGCCCGAGTTAATCACAGCGGCAGAGGCTGCGCACCAGCGCGCAGAGGCAGAGAGGGCACACGAGCAGGCAGTCGCGGAACCGCTGGGCATGCAGCACGACCCAGTTGAGGCGACGCAACTCCCCGTGCCGAAGACCCCGGGCGCGAAAGAGGGACCCCGGGCGGAGCGGCAACATCGCCTCACTCACCTGCCAGCCGCATCTTGGTGCGAAGAGTGCGTGAGGGGAAAAGCCCCAAACGCCCCTCACTCGTTGGTCAGGCTCGAAGACTCTGAGCGGAAGGCACCGCTCATCAGCTGCGACTTTGGCTTCTGCAAAACAACCGACGAGGAGGGCGATCTCACACAGGTTGAGGACACGTACGCGACGATGCTCGTGGAGTTCAGCTCTGACACTAGAGTGGTGAAGGTCCACCCACGCCCCTCGAAGACGGCATCACCATACGCGACTGAAGGCATCAAGTCAGTCGTGCAGCAGCTCAAGACTGGTAAGTGCAGGGTCAGGACCGACACGGGAGCTGGCGACCAAGGCCATCCTGGACGGGGTCGTCAGCGAGCTCACGGGTAAGTTTACGCCAGAGCTGACCCCGAAGCACAGCAGACAGTCGAACCCAGCGGAGGCAGCGGTGAAAATCGTCGAAAGCCAGACGCGAGCTCTCAGGCTGGATCTCGAGAAGCCCTACGGCACCAGGGTCACGGCAGCCATGCCGATCTGGGCCTGGATGATGCGACACGCTGGGTGGCTGCACGAAAGGTGTTCCCGACGGGCTGGGGGACAGACCCCACACGAGATAACCACAGGGTCACCCTGCAAAGGCGACATCTGCAACTTCGGCGAGACGGTGCTGTATCGGATAACGCGGCCAGCGCATTGCAGGCTCACTGGGGAACGACGCCTACATCGTGGAGAAGCACAGTGGGGTCGCGGAATATGGGTTGGCAGGTCGGACGAGTCCCAGGAACACCTGATGATGGCGCTTCGTGGGAGGATCGATCGCGCTCGGACTCTGCGACGTCTACCAGAAGGCAAGCAGGCGGACAAGGAACTGCTACTGTAGGTGACGGGCCTACCTTGGGCTACGAGGACGGCTTCTGGGTTTGCAGGTCGGTCGAGTCCCAGGGGCATCTGATGATGACGCCTCGTGGGGCCGATCGCGTTCGGACTGTGCGACGCCTAAATGTCTAACGTCAGCTTGTGCTTGACAAATCCGTGGAGGGGGGCGCGTATGAGAAAAAACCAAATAACCCGCTCGGGCGAATCGCGGGGTGGCGCCCGCCATATTGAAAATCAACGGGGCGGCGCCGGTGATTAGCGCCGACGCCTGGCCGCCAACGAGGGGAAAGGGGGGGTGTTTGGAGGCAAGGGCGATCCAGGGCGCCCCTCGAACCGATGCGAGCCTGCGGGCAAGGCTGGCTGGACGAAAGTGGGGCGCAGCAAAAGGGGATTTGCCAAGCAGCTCACATCGCCGATTTTCCACCAAATTGTCCAAGCGCCTCCTGGCGCCCAAAGCGGCCATGCGTCGAGAACTGGCCCTTCGGCGGGGCGACCGAAACCAGCTGCGCGCAGCAAGCTTCGCAACCCCCCCCTTTCCTTCCCCAGCCTTTCGTCCGACCCGAGCAAAGGCGGGTAGTCTTCCTCCCCCCCTCAGTCGCCGTCGTCGCCGCCGTCTCCCGTCCTGTCTGCGCCCGTTTCCAGCGGCTGCTCTCTTCGTCGCTCGGGCCTGAGTGTCTTTCGCCGCGGCGGGAGCGTGCCTTGAAGAAAGCGGGCCCCGGACCCCAGAGGTCGCCCTCGGTCGTTTTTCGGCCTCGCGGCCCGCCAATGGCTGTGGAAGGGGGTGCGCCGAAGGGGACCGTGGATGGGGGTCCGCCCGAAAGCGAGGAAAGCCCGCCAGGACCCACTTCCTTCAGAACGCGCGCTCGCCGCCCGCGGCGGGGCCAACAAAAAAGGCGCAGATCGAGGTTTAGCGCGTCCGACATGGGCGCTGGGAAACATGGTCGCGCTGTCCGTCCACGAGCAAATCATTGTCCTCTCTCCTACTCCCCCCTGGCGCGCGTGATTCAAAAAGTATCGCGACCCGCGGGTCTATTCATCAGCCTGGGGTGGGGGGGTCCAGCCATTTGTTAATCACAAGCTGACATGACCAGTAGGCAAGCAGGCGGGCGAGGAGCTCATGCTGTCGGTGACGGGCCTACCCTAGGGTGCGAGGACGGCTCCAGGAGAGGCCGAGACGACGACGGGCACCGCAGCAAGGGGCGACGGAACTCCCGAATGCAGACTCGCAGCAGCCGCAGGCGCCTCCAGAGAGCGGTGCGGCACCCCAGCTCAGCCCCCGGCGCCGCAGCAGGCACCTCCAGCGGGCAGCGGCGGCCCCGCCGCAGCCGTCGGCCCCACCGGGTGCCGCCCGCGCAGGGGGACGTGGCGGTGGCGGCGCCCTCGCAGGCAGCGAGGCGAGAAGCTTCGCCAGCGGCGGGGGGCATCTCAGGGGAAGCGTGCCCGAGCTGCAGCAGTCCGCGCGCTCGACGCTGGCAGCGTGGACGACTCGCCCGAAGTCGAGGACCCGACAGAGGGCAAGTTCGACGTGGACATGCAGGACGAGCTGGACAAGAAGCTCACGCTGGAGCACCTGCAGGGCCTCCTGGACCGCGGCGTCTGGGAGGACATGCCCAAGTCGGAGGCGACCGTGATGAAGCACACCACCACGCGCCAGGAGAAGCAGTGGCGGTGGGAACCAGCTGCTCAGGAGTGGCAGTACAAAGTGTGGTCCGTCTGCCGCGAGTTCCGTTGGCAGGAGTGGCGCGACGACCTGTTCACGCCAGGGTCGGCACCGATCTCGAACAGGCTCATCGACTTCGTGGCGCGCAAGCGCGGCTTCGAGGTGATGGCGCTGGATGCAAAGGACGCCTTCTACCAGTCGCCTGAGTACGAGGACGTGGTGGCAGACCCCCCGCAGGAGTATCTGGACATGCTCAGGGCGGAGGGCAAGGACACGAACGTCTATTGGAAGATGAAGAAGCAGCTGCCTGGCAGGCGCACCGCTGCGCCAGGCTGGGTCGAGCACATGGCGGGCATCCTCACGGACGAGTTGCACATGGCGAGGTGCGGCGTGGCCCCGCAGTTATTCTACAACCCTGAGAGCGAGGTGGCAGTGGAGTTGCACATGGACGATCTCCACATGACTGGCTCGAGAGACGCGCTGGAGGGGTTTCGCGACGAGCTCAAGCAGCACGTGACCTTCAACGGCGGCGAGATCCACGAGTTCGGCACCATCTATGAGCACCTGAAGCGGCTCAGGACGAGACTCAAGCACGGGACCGAGCTTCAGGCGAACCCGAAGTACCTAGACTGCGTGGTGGACACCCTGGGCTTAGGCAGCTCGAACACCGCGCCTGCGCCAGGAGTGCCAGCTCACGAGGCGCTCCTAAGGGGGCAGCCCCTGCTCTGCCCCCGCAGCAGGCGGGCGTCCACCGCTCGTGCCTGGGGGCGCTGCTGCCTTACACCCACCTCCTCCTCCTCCTCCTCCTCCTCCTCCTCCTCCTCCTCCTCCTCCTCCTCCTCCTCCTCCTCCTCCTCCTCTCATCCTCCTCCTCCTCCTCCTCCTCCTCCCTCCTCCTCCTCCATCATACTACTCCTCCTCTCCTCCTCCTCTCCTCCTCCTCCTCCTCCTCCTCTCCTCCCTCCTCCTCCTCCTCCTCCTCTCCTCCTCCTCCTCCTCCTCCTCCTCCTCCTCCTCCTCCTCCTCCTCCCTCCTCCTCCTCCTCCTCCTCCTCCTCCTCCTCCTCCTCCTCCTCCTCCTCCTCCTCCTCCTCCTCCCCCAAGGGCAGGGCGGACTGCCGGCACGAAGTCCACCTCCTTGGCAGTATGCTGTCGGGCCCGAGCGTCGGCGCCTTCACCGCCCTCGAGAGGCTCGTCGGGCACCTTTTCTCGGCACCAGGAGCGCGGTGAGCTGGCTGGCTGGACCGACGGAGGGCACGAACGCGGAGCCGATGGGTTAATGGCGACGATGGCTGGGCAGGCGACCTGCACGCACGGAGGTCGCAGTCAAGTGGACAGATTGAGGCAGACGGGGTGCCGATGCACTCGTTCAGCAGGCGCCAAGCGACTGTTGCTACCAGCTCGGGCGTTGCCGAGGACTACGCGGCGACGGCGGTAGCCGAAGACATTCTCTACTTCAAATCGCTGCTGGAATTTATGGGCTTCACGGTGGCGGCTACCCTACTCACTGACTCGTCGGCGGCTCCAGGGATTGCCAGACGGGAAGGAGTTGGCAAAGTCAGGAGCTTGGAGGCGCGCGTGCTCTGGCTCCAGCAGGCGATCAAGCGCAAGCTGATGGACCTCGGGACCGTCGGCACTGACGACAACAAGGCGGACCTGAGCATGAAGATCATTGGACACGACAAGTTCATCAAGCTCAGGACGCTCAACGGCATCTACACGGACATGGGCCAGGTCGAGGCGAACGACGAGCAGTCGGAGGAAGTAGACTTCGACGTGGGGGCGGTTGCTCAGGTACGGCACGCTCGGAGCGCGGCGAGCTCACCCCGAGGGAGGCACTCGGCGGCCCTGACAATGATCACAGCGGCGAAGGCGCTCTTGCAGGGCTGCGAGGGGCCTCCCGCCGAACACAAGACGTAATACTACGACACGGAGCTCTGCTCTGTGGACGGCATGGTCGCGAACGGCTGGACGGGCTACTTGCTGATGCTGATCGTGTGGACGTTGGTCGTGGCTGCTGTCAGCGGCTACTCGCAGTATCGGCACTCAACCACCGACATCGTTCGAGCGAAGTGGGCGAGCCCGCGATCTCGGCCACAGGACCACGCGCACGGAGCCTTCCTCGACGTGCGCGTGGACACAGCCAGAGGACTCCCTTTGGACTGCCTTCAGCAGCTCGAGGCACAGGACCTCGAGCGGCTGCGCGTCGCGCTGGAGAGAATGAGAGCGCGAGCTTTGCACGAGCTTCCGCTCGCACCCGCCGTGCAGAGTGCCCGCCGTTGGGCAGTCCTGCGCCCCTGGACCGGCTGAAGGAGCTAGCCAGCTCGAGGCACTCGAACTCACAGGAGGTGCTACTCAGCATGGGGGACGCCCCGTCGCAGCTAAGACTGTGAATGCTTGTCTCGGGGAGTCGGCTGAAACCTCGACTTGGTCCCCGCGCCGAAATTCCAAGGTGGCGTGTTGTAGATTGTACTTGCTTGGGTCGGAGGCCCCCTCATGCAGGATAGGGCATGGCACGGCAGAGGCTGAGCAATGTAACTAGGTCCTTTTGGCGCTGATGATGCTAACACACATCACGCAATATCGCTACAGTCCTTCAGTACGGCGCACGCGCTGAAATAAGGGCCGACGTGGGCTACAGGCTGTCGGCTGTCGGTGGATGTCGTTCATCCCCTACGTCAATCGGGCCGGGCGAAAGGGGGGATAGCAAAGGGGGGGGGTTGAGAAGCAGCTCACATAGCTGATTTTCCCGGCGCCTCCGGGCACCGGGAGGCGCCCATGTATCGAGGACTGGGCCCGGCGGCGGGGGCGAAACCAGCTGCATGCAGCAGAGTTCGTACCCCCCCCATTTCCTTATCCCCCCCTTTCATCCGGCCCGAGGAAAGGGCCAGCCGCGTGTAGAACGGCAAGGGGGCCCCGATCCGTTGGCACATGCGGCCGCCTGGGCAGAGCTCCTGCCCGGGGGCGGCGAAAAGTCTGGCTCGAAAGGGGAAGCAGAGGAGGGCGGAGGAGGACAGAGGGGGAGCAGGAGAAGGACGAATACCGGGCAGGAGAAGGAGAAGGGCAGAGGGAGCAGGAGAAGGACAGAGGGGGCAGGAGAAGGAGAAGGACTGAGGAGGACATAGAGGACAGAGGGGGCAGGACTTAGGGCACAGGGCTGCGAAAAGCCTGGAGCCCCAAGAGGATAATATTGGCCACGAGAGCTGCCCGGGAGCGCGGAAGCTGCAGGTGCACAGACCCGAGCGGGGGGCTGCGTCGTGGCGGACCTCCTGAGCTGCGCCGGAGGTTGGCGGCTCGGCTGCAGCGACGTCGGCGAGCCAGCGCCAGAAAAAGTCGGTGCTGCCGTCGGGCCAGCTCCCTGGACACATAGAGGTGTGCATCCAAGCAGTGATGCTCAGACCGACTCTGCTTCCACATTTGTCCCTGCAGTGCCTGAACGGACGCTGGAAATTACGGGCGTCATCGTCGGCACAGAGGTCATAGAGTACGTTCTCATGCTCGTGGATGTCCTGGCCCGTGTCACGACCATTGCAGCCGAGGACCCTCCAGCATCATGATCACCCTCGTGTTGAACAATGGCATTGAATCCAAACTTTTGGAGGTCATCGACATTCATCTGGTCGGCACGGTGCTTCATTTTGTCGAGAAGACCCTTGAAAAGAACCCGCCTCTCCATCTTCGCCTTGCCGGTCTTCTTGTCCTTCACAGTGACGCCGATGTCTGATGGGAAGACGCGGTGCTCCTGTTTGTCGATGGCCAGGAGGAAATCTTTCATTTGAAGTTGCTCTTCCATCGTCCCCTTCGTCTTCAGGACGTGCTGCAAGCCATACAGGCCCAAGAATGGCACCATGAGCCGCTCACGGTCGCAGCACGGAAGCCCCTCGTGACTCATGCGACAGCACGAGAGCTCGCCTTCGAACACGTAGATCCGCCGAGACCCACCTGTCGGAAGTGAAAAGGCGAGTGAGAGATTTCGGGCTGTCCCACTCCCCTTTGAGGAAGGGGGTGATGAGGAGGAGGAGGGAGAGGGAGAGAGGGAGGGGAGGAGAAGGATGAGGAGGAGGAGGAGGAGGACGAGGAGGAGGAGGAGGCGGAGGAGGAGGCGGAGGAGGAGGAGGAGTTCTCCCCAGGGGGCCAACACTATTGTTGGAGGGAGGGGGGGAGGGGGTTCCCCGACGAGCTCCCCGGCGGCTCTCTGGGGTCCTGGAGGTTCTTGAAACCGAACAACGGGACTACAAAAGACCCTCAAGATTTTTCAGGAAGACCCCGACGCACCCCAATTTTATTATTCCAATATTGCCTCTGAAACGAATCAAGATGGCCCAAGATAGGCGACGAAAATCTCCAAGATGCCCCCAATCTCGCGAGATGGCCTTGCGGAGGGCACAGAAGAGGCGCAAGGCGTCAAATTCACATCGAGTTTTCTCGTGCGTTTGGCATTTACGATGTTTCGGCTCGAGGTGGCCCCACGATGGTCTCCAGATGACTCGCAGCGGTCCGATAAGCTCTCTAGAGGCCCCCAGATGGCCCACGAGGCCCCTAAGTTGGCACCGAGATCGCCCCCGAGGGCCCCAGCTGGACTCCAAGATGGCCCACGGCAATTCCACGACGGCTCAAGACCGCTCCCAGACTGCCTTTGGACGTCCCCAGACAGACCTGAGGCTCTCCAAAATGGCCCCCGACCCCCCAACGGACGCCAACAACGTTCCAAGAGGCCCCCAAGGGAGTCCAATAATGTCCCAAGAAGGCACCTAAACTGTCCCCAAAGGGCCTCCTCCTCCTCCTCCTCCTCCTCCTCCTCCTCCTGCTCGCCTTCACCCTCCTCCACCTCCTGCTCGCCTCCTTCTTCTCCTCCTCATCTTCCTCCTCATTCTCCTCCTCCTCCTCCTCCTCCTCCTCTTTCTCATCCTCCTCCTCCTCCTCCTCCTTCTCCCGCCTCCTCCTGCTCGTCCTCCTGTTCCTCCTCCTCCTCCTCCTCCTCCTCTTCCGCCTTCTCTTCCTACTCCTCCTCCTCCTCCTCCTCCTCCTCCTCCTCCTCAACTCCCGCTACTTCCTCTGGGTGTCTGCTGAATTGCGCAAGCCCCAGGATAGCTTCGTTCATCATCGCGCTCCCAAGCCGCACTGGCTCAACCAGGCTCTGCGAGTTCGCCAGGTACATGTCGTCCACGCCGTGGGTCAGCGAGTGCGACAGCAGCTCCGCGCGGCACCAGGCGCGATTCTGGTAGGTCTCCAGGCTGCACATCTGGCACAGGTCCTTGTGTACCGCCTCTGGCGCGACTACGATGAACGCGTGGGCGCTGGAGGCATAGATGGGCAGGCTCGAGATAGCACACGACTGTTGTGACTTGTTCTTCTGGGGAATTGAGCAGACATCGAGCCACACGTGCACATTTTCCGGGTCCCACTCCTTTTGGAGTGCGCAGTCGGCGACAGCTGACCTGGCGCACTCGTACTGCAGATTATCGGGGTCGGGCGCCGTCCATGACAGCCACTGGTGCGAGAGGAAGATGATGAAATTGTCCGTCACGAATTTGTCGATATCATCCGGAGTGTCCAGCCATGCAAGCTTGGAGCCATGATTCTTGCGGAGCTCCTCGTGGGAAACGAACGAGCCCATGTCCCTGAACGTCTTCATCTGGAGCACAACCATGGGAAACCGCAGGTCGCGCATCGCGCTCACGGCATCCTCGATCATCTGGAGCTGCCGCTCTTCCTCCTGTCTCTGCAGGCGCCTCTTCTGGATGAAAGTGTGCGCGACCCACGCGACCGTGGACAGCACCAGTCCTGCGCTTAGGTCGGGCCTGTCCCCCTTTGGATTTTGGACGATTTTTTAAACAAACAAAAAGAATACACAACAACAAAAAAACAACAATAGTCGAAAGTGGTCGAAAAATCGCCCCCAGACTATTCTTTGACTATTTTTGAATTTTCCCCCTGTAGAGGGACGGGCCCGACTTGATCCTACGCCGATGACAGCGCCGATGGCGTACATGACGGTCTCGAGGGTCTTATCCTCGTTCTCGGGGGGGTCGTACTGGCGGCACGTGCGCGGGTCGATCGAGTCCATCGTGGAGCGAAACCTCTGGCACAGGTCGTACTCGCTGATCTGCTCGAGCCCCAGCGTGGCCCGGTAGATCTGGAGCTGGTCGATGATGCCGCGGTCCTCGGAGATCAGTTTCCAGCCCTCCGTCACCTGCACCACGAGCTCGTCGATGCTCATCGTGCCGGCCCAGTACTCCTTCATTGCGGCACCCATGACGTCGTAGCTGTACTCTTTAATGCCGGGGATCCGCAGGTTGAGCGCGCCGTTGGCATCGCCGTCGAGCGACTTGTGCATCGCGCTCCGGTGCTCGTCGTACGCGTCCCTCGGCCAGGTGCTGTCCTCCACAAAGTTCGTCCCCTCCGCGGTCAGCTGCGACATCCGCCACGAGTCGATCCAGCTCGCGCGAGTGGCCACGTCGATGACCGAAGTCTCCGGAGAGTTGATGTCCGCCATCGTGCCTCTGGGCACGGAGCGGGCGTGTCCTCAGGTCCTTTGCCCAATCCCTGGAGCCTCAGTCCGCAGTCCCGGGGAGTACTTGCAACATCTGGCGGGGCTTGGCGCGGTTCCCCAGCGCTTCGGGAAGTGGTGGCGCGCAACTTGTCTCGGCCCAAGAGGGCCCCCGGCGTTTTTGTTTTTTTCTCTTTTTGGAGGAGGAGGAACAGTTGGAGGACGGGGAGGAGGAGGAGGAGGAGGAGGAGGAGGAGGAGGAGGAAGAGGAGGAGGAAGAGGAGGAGGAGGAGGAGGAGGAGGCGGAGGAGGAGGAAGAGGAGGAGGAGGAGGAGGAGGAGTAGGCCCGTCTTGGGGCCTTCTTGGCCCCAAGGCGGGCCAAGAAGGCCCCAAGAGTTGCGCCGGGCGGCGCGACGGGGCCCGAGAAGTCCCCAAGATCGGCCCAGGACGCCGAAGAGGAGCTCTTTCCGCCCCGAGAAGCCTCCAAGGCGCCCGAAGAGGTCGCCAGCAAGCTCCAGGAGCCCCCAAGAAGCCCCCCAAAAGGCCCCAAGAGGCCCCAAGAAACATCCAAGACGGCCCAAGACGGCCCCAGAGGCATCCAAGAGGCCTCCAAGACAGCCCAAGAGGCCTTGAAGAGGCCCTCCAGGGTCCTCAAGGACGGCCCGAAGAGGTCAACATCATTGATTTCCCTTAAGTTTTCGAAGGATTTTGGCTTTTGCTCCTTTTCGGCCTTCTGACGGCCCAAGACGGCCCAAGAGGCCATCAAGATCGCCCCAAGAGTGCCCAAGAAGCCTCCAAGACGGTTCCAGGACGGCCCAAGAGGCCCCCAAGACGGCCCCAAGAAGGCCCCAAGACGGCCCGAGATGCCCCAGATGGCCTCCAAGACGGCCAAGATGGCCTCCAAGATGCCTCCAAGACACCGGAGATGCCCTCCAAGACGGCGAAGATGGCCCCAAGATGCACCCAAGACGGCCCAAGATGGCCTCGAGACAGCCTAAGACTGCCCAAAAGGCCCGCCAGAGGCCTCCAGACGGCCCAAGAGCCCTCCAAGACGTCCTCCAGGAAGGCCCGACAGGGTTAAAAATCATTGATTTTCCTTCAGTGTTTGAAGGATGTGGGCGTTTGCTCCTTTTCAGCTCTCCGACGGCCCAGGACAGCCCAAGAGGCCCGAACATCGCCCCAAGAGCGCCCCAGAGGTCTCCAAGATGGCCCCATGACAGCCCAAGCGGCCCCCAAGAGGGCCCCAAGAAGGCCCCAAGACGGCACAAGAGGCCCCCAAGACGCCCAAGATAGCCTCCACGACGGCCACGATGGCCTCCAAGATGCCTCCAAGACGCCCAAGATGGTCGTCAAGACGGCCAAGATGGCTGAAGATGGCCTAAGACGGCCCTATAGGCCCGCAAGGGGCCTCCAAGACGGCCCAAGAGCCCTCCAAGACGTCCTCCAGGAAGGCCCGAAAGAGCAAAAATATCATTGAATTGCCTTAGGTGTTTGAAGGATTGTGGCTTCTGCGGCTCTCCGACGGCCCAAGCCGGCCCCAAACATCGCCCCAAGAGCGCACAAGAGGCCTCCAATATGGCCTCGTGACAGCCCAAGAGGCCCCCAAGAGGGCCCCAGGAAGGCCCGAAGACGGCCCAAGAGGCCCCCAAGACGCCCAAGATGGCTTCCAAGACGGTCAAGATGGCCTCCAAGATGCCTCCAAGACGGCAAAAAAGGCCTCCAAGACGGCGAAGATGGCCCTAAGATGCACCCAGGACGGCCCTAGATGGCCTGAAGATGGCCTTAGACTGCCCAAAAGGCCCGCCAGAGGCCTCCAAGACGGCCCAAGACCCCTCCAAGACGTCCTCCAGGAGGCCCGAAAGCTCGGAAACCACCTGGTCCGATAGCTCGCCCGACTCCGTGTTCCCCGAAGGTTTTCGAAACCCACTCGGGGAACGCGTGGCCTGATAGCTTGGCCAAGCTTTCGGCCACGCAGGCACTTCCAAAAAGGCAGGGGGCGGCGGTGATTCGCCGTAGGCGTCTTCGATCCACCGCCCCGTGGTCTTGCCACAGGTGTACCCGGCGTGCTAGGTCCTACTGGTTTGGTTTTGGTTCCTTTTCCAAAAAGAGCTCCCCCTGAGGCTTCGGCCCGTCCCGCCGGCCACCAGAAAGGACCACAAAACCAGAAAGAATCCCCCAAGACGGCCCACGATGGCCTCCAAGACGGCCAAGATGATTAGCCTCAAAGAACGCCCAAGATGGTCCAAGATGACCTCCAAGTTCGGCCAAGATGATCCAAGATGGCCTCCAAGGCGGCCCAAGAGGGCTCAAGATGCCTCCAAGTCCGCCCAAGGAGCCTCCAAGATGGCCCAAGACGGCCGAAAAGGTCCCCAAGAGGCCTCAAGGACGGCCCAAGAGGCCTTCAAGAGGTTCTCCTGGAAGGCCCGCAGTGGCCAAAATCATTTACCTTTGGTTTTTCCCGCATGTTTCGTGGGGTTCTGGTTTCTTCCCTGCCGCGTCGCACCCGCGTCTCCTCCCACACACCTCCCTCCCATCCGCCCTCCTCCCCTTCTCCTCTTCCTTTATCCCCTCACCCGCGCACATGAGAAACGTTTCTACATACAGCCACGCGCACGATACAATGACAGTGCACACCTGGCGTGTTCACTGCATCATACACACAAGACGTGTGCACCACATGCTGGGCGTCCACATGAGACACACGCGCGCACGCAGCACACATGCACGCAACACAAAAACACACACACACATACAGTCGCGACGCATACTGCACACACGTTGAGACACGCGTTTGGGGCAAGGGCGTTTGATAAGTGCTGCCCAATCCATGCTGTGCGTGGTGGAATCAATGTGGTGTTATCCGTTTCGGACTCGCAAAGCGTGGCGAAAGTGGCACTTCCTCGACGCCACAGTGAGTTCGCTGGGGGCGGTCTCCTTATCAGTTTCGAGCTCGCACAGCGTCGCAGGCGTGGCATTTCGTCAACACAACACAGAATGCGTCGGGGGTGGTTTCCCTATCCGCTTCGGGCTCGCAAAATATGGCAGGCGTGGCAAGTCCGGGGGTGTTTTGCCTATCCGTTTCGGGTTCGCAAACCGTGGATGCCTGGGAACCTCCTCAACACCACAGGTGGTGCGCTGGGGGTGGTCCCCCTATCCGTTTCGGGCTCGCAAAACGTGGCAGGCGTGGCACTCCCTCGACACACGAGGTGGTGCGCTCGGGGTGGTCTCCCTATCCGTTTGGGGATCGCAAAGCCTGGCAGGCGTGGTTTCGGGCTCGCAAAGCGTGGCAGGCTTGGCACTTCTTCGACACAACAGGGAGTGCGCTGAAGGCGGTCCCCCTATCCGTTTCGGGCTCGCAAAGCGCGGCAGGCGTGGCAGTTCCTCGACGCCACAAAGTGGTGCGCTGGGGGTGTTTTCCCTACCCGTTCCGGGCTCGCAAAGCCTGCCAGGCTCTGCGAGCCCGGAACGGGTAGGGGGGTGGTCTCTGAGCGCGGCACCGACTCTTTGCGCGACGTGGAAGGCCCAGCTAGCTGGTGGGGTCAAAGTGGCGGTAAGCCAGTAACGCCCAGGCTGTTGCCCTTCCTGGACCCTTTCAGGGTACTCAGGCTCCCAAGGCTTGACCAGCGCCACCAACGATATCGGCGAAGCAACGGCCACCTGCATCATTCTCGCACGTTTCACGTCAGCTGTTATCACGCCAGACATATATAAGTATGTGGGGTTCCTCGGCGGCGTAACTGAAGGATTTTAGCATTTGCTTCTTTTCGGCCTTCCGACGGCCCGAGACGGCCCAAGAGCCCCCAAAGATCGCCCCAAGACTGCCCAAGAGGCCTCTAAGATGGCCACAGAACGGCCCAAGAGACCTGCAATACTGCCCCAAGAGGGCCCCAGGACGGCCCAAGGGGCCTCCAAAACGCCCAATATGGCCTCCAAGACGGCCCTGGAGCATCCCAAGAGGGCCGCAAGTCAGCCCAGAGAGGCCCCCAAGACGCCTTGCGAGGGCACCAGAGGGGCCACCAAGACGGCCCAAAATGGCTCCAAGATGGCCCAAGACTGCCCAAGAGGCCCCCAAGAGGTCTCCAAGACTGCAGAAGAAGCCTCCAAGGGGCCTCCGGCAAGGCCCGAAGAGGCCAACATCATTGATTTTCCATAGTTAGCATTTGCTTCTTTTTGGCCTTCCGACGGCCCGAGACGGCTCAAGAGCCCCCAAAGATCGTCCCAAGATCACCCAAGAGGCCTCCAAGATGACCCCATGACGGCCCAAGAGGCCCCCAAGACTGCCCCAAGACGGCCCAAGAGGCCTCCAAGACGCCCGAGATGTCCTCGAAGACGGCCCTGGAGCACCCCATTGGGGGCCCCAAGTCGGCCCAGAGAGGCCCTCAAGACAGCTTCCGGCGGCGTCGGACGGACCAGGAAGCCATCAAGACGGCCCCAGACGGCTCGAAGACGGCCCAAGACAGTCCAAGAGGCCCCCAAGAGGTCTCCAAGACGGCCCAGGAGGCCCCTAAGAGGGCCTCCAGGACTGCCCGAAGAGGCCAACCTCAATGGCTTTCCCAAGGTTGTTCAAGGATTTTGGTATTTGCTTCTTTTCGGTCTTCCGAAGGCCCGCGACGGCTCAAGAGCCCCCCAAGATCGCCCACGAGGCCTCCAAGATGGCCCAAGAGACCCCCAAGACTGCCCAAGAGGCCTCGCAGACGCCCAAGATGGCCTCCAAGGCAGCCCTGGAGCACCCCAAGAGGGCCCCAAGTCGGCCAAGGGAGGCCCTAAGACGGCCAAAGAGGACCCCGAGAAGTCCCCATAGGCCCCCAAAGAGTCCCAAGGAGGCCCCCAAGATGCCTCCAAGAGGATCCTGGGAATCTCCCAGGAGGCCCCAAGAGTGCCGCCAGAGGCTCCTAAGATGCCCCCTGCTCCTCATCCTCCTCCTGATCTTCCCTACCATCCTCCCCCAAGTGTTCCCCGAAGGGTTTCTACAACGGCTGGGGGAACACATGGCGAGATAGCTTGGCAGAGCTCTTGCAACAACGCTCGGCCACATTGGCGATTCCAAAAGGCAGGGGGAGGCGGTGACTCGCCGTAGGCGTCTTCGATACACAAAGAAGTCCCAGATGGCATCCTTGACAACGGGGTCGGCGCTTTTACGGATCATCGTCCCGAAACCTCCACTCCAGTAGAATGGGGCACGATTGATCAGCTCTCCGGCGTAAGGAGACGGCACCAAAACACTAGCCCTGTCGTTCTCCGTCGTGTCGACATGGCCGTGAGACTGCACCTGCACAGCGCGTGGGCAGATGTCCTCCGTGCAGGTCTGCAGCTGGCCCTCGCTGTTCAGCACCTTCAGGGAGCCAAAAGGCAGCTGGCGATAAGGGGCAGCATAGCTGCCGTCGGCCATCGTCGGCTGCCAGACGACAGTGCCGTTGTCCTTGCGCGACACGCCATTGAGGAATACGCCCTTCCAGCAGCCTGGAGGCGCGTAGCCGAGGAAGCAACGACCCTCGGTCATCAAGCTTCCGCAGTCACCCTCTCCAATGTTCCACAACTCTTTCCAGATGGCGGCCGCCTCCCTGAATGCCGGGTTGTCCAGCAGAGGCTCGAAAGTCTCCACGTCGAAGTGGAAGCCACTCTTGACGCCATCCTGAGCCATGGTCGCCCAGGTTGAATACACAAGCTCTGCGATCCACCAGTCCCATGTTCCTGCGCCGGTCCGAGGGAAATGGCAGAATCCGAAGTCGTTCTCGCCGTCGCCGTTCAAGTCGGTGCCGTGGAAGCGCTGAGCCTGCGACACTGCCTCTTCCCACGTGTTTGGCAGCGGGAGGCCCTCCCTCTCGAGAATGTCGATCCTCACAAGGGGCACGAAAAAGTCACCGTCGAACATCAGGAAATCGATGTCGTCTCGGCCGTCTCGGCGGTACATGCCCATCTTCTGAACCTGCGGGAAGAAGTCCACCCACCGAAGGCGCTCGGCGGAGGCGGCGATGCGGTCGTTGAGCGTCTCGGCGAGGCCGAGGGCGCTGGCCTCGGGGAAGTGGGAGTAGCTCATGAGGTAGCCGTCGTACAGCTCCAGGCCCGTGGCGGTCTTCGTGCCCACATCGGCGACGGCAGAAGAGGCAAGAGACCCGGCACAACGAGACACGCGCACGCCCTCGCACGCCCGCGCGGACCTCCCGGGCCGGCACGGGGGCCCCCCCTGCAAGGCCTGGCCGCCGCCCGAGAGGCGCCGCGCCCCCCGGGGGCCCCGGCGCCGGCCCCTCCCGACGTCCGTGCGGGCCTCCGGGCAGGCTCGTGCCCGTGCCGGCTCCTCCTCTTCGGGCTCGGGTCCTCGAAGACGTTCGCGGCCTCGGAGAACACGATGCGGGCCCCCGTGCACGCCTCGAACTCGCGCGCCCTGTCGCGGAACTGGGGCGAGCTGGTGTCCGTCACGGCGGACAGGTAGTTGACGGTCAGCCCCTGGCTTCTTAGAGGCCTCCCTGCTGGGACCCGAGCAGGTGGCGTCTGAGGATCTTGCCGCATCGCCGACGCATCGGCGATGCGCCGGCGACGTTGGCAACGCATCGGCAATACCGGCATGGAGAGAATCAGACTCCGCATCGCGCCGCATCACCGATGCATCGGCGATGCGCAGCGATCCTCCGAACCCTTCTGCTCCGACCCCATCTGGGAGGCCTAGAGGCTTGCCGCGACGGAGAGGGGCCCCGAGGGAGATGGATCCGGACCCTGCGGCTCTCCCTTGTGCCAGTTTCTCACGACCGCAACGACGACGACGGCAACGACGACAGACGACGACGGACGACCACGGACGAAGACGGACGACGACGGACGACGACGGACGACGATGGACGACGACGACGACGACGACGAAGACAGGGGCGACCTCATACGTCCCTCCTGGCGCAAAGGCGTCCAGCCCGGGGAGCGAGCAGTCGTACCCGCTCGCGGGCGGAGCCTCTTGGAACCATCTCGTCGTCGTCGCCGTCGGTGGAAAAACAGAACGACATGAACATGAGGGTTCGCAGATCAACCACACGCCCTGAGTCAGTGTTCGAAGACCAGACACGGTGAGGTCACCACAGGGCCCGAGTTAGGGCTCGAAGACCAACCATTGTGTGGAAGAAGAAAAACAAACGGCATAAACGTAAACTGTTGGAGGTCCGAGCGGACTTCTGGGATCTGCGCTGGCCCCTCCTCCCTGGCGCGCGGAGCGCGCCAGGGGCGGCGCCGGAGGCGCCGCCAGGGGGCCCCAGCGCAGCTCCGAGAAATCCGCGCAGGGCGTCGAACGTTTGTGTGTGCGGTGTGTCTGTCTGTCTGTCTATCTGCCTGTCTGACTGTCTGCCTGTCTGTCTGTCTGTCTGTTTGTCTGTCTGTCTGTCTGTCTGTCTGCCTGTCTGTCTGTCTGTCTGTCTGCCTGTCTGTCTGTCAGTCTGTGTGTTTGTCTCCTTCTTCGAGTCGTCGTCGTCGTCGTCGTCGTCGTCGTCGTCGTCGTCGTCGTCGTCGTCGTCGTCGTCGTCGTCGTCGTACCCGGCGGGCGCCGGGGCGGGGGAGCACTGGCAGTCGGTGGCCGTCGCCGCGGGCGCGGCCGCCGCGGCGACGCCCAGGGCGCGGGCCGCGGCGCGCCACGCCATCTGGGGGCAGCCGCGGTTGCCGCGGGCCCGTGGGCCGGAAGGAATGACGAACGAACAACACACACCCGTGCCCACAGGGGGGTCGTTGGGAGGAGGACCGGCTGTGGGTATGGGTGCGGGCTGTCGGACCCTGGGGAGCGCTCCCGTTCGAGCGGGGACCCCCATCCGACAACACGCACCAATAGCCCTCTCCGATCCCTGACAGGAGGAGGAGGAGGAGGAGGAGGAGGAGGAGGAGGAGGAGGAGGAGGAGGAGGAGGAGGAGGATCCCCCTATGGGTATGGGTGTGTGCTGTTGGTTCGTCCAGGAACGCCCGGGCCCCAGACCCCCGGCAGCGCCGCGGCACGGGAATCCCCTCGGAGGGCGCGGGGGAAACCCTCAACTTAAAAACGTGATCATCTCCTGGGGGCGCATCTTTTGCTGCCGCCGCCCTCCGTCGAGCTTCCGCCGGCCTACTTCCGCCGACCTTCCGCCGCGGAAGCGATGACGACTCCTCCTGTTCGCGAAGGTGCCGCCATCTGAGAGAAGGTCTCCTCCTGCTCGGTTCCCCTCCATCGCTCACCGCCGAGCCAAGGATCGAGGAGGTGAGCTTTTTGTTCTCGGCGTTACGACATTGGGCGGAAGGGAGGGGGAGGGGGGGGGGTCTGGCTCCAGACCACTGCTTAAGGCGACTGTTTGGAACCGTGCGTCCTATTGGAGAGACTCTACCTGCTCGAAAAAGGCGCCAAAAACAGCCAAGATCTACTCCATGGGGGAGGGGGAGGGAGGGGGGGGGGGGCGAGGGCCCGCGCCAATCGGCAAAACAATTAATAACATTATCCTGGCGAAAGGCCCAACCAGATGTAGTTGTGAGTACCGCAATTGTGAATGTCTTCTTCGGTGGTGGGGCCACGAAGCGCTGCACTGGGTGGTGGGGGAACGCATGCGGGCGGTAGCGCTGGAACCTTCAGTGGAGCTCCGAATGGGGCCACGAAACGCTCTACTGGGTGGGGGGACGCATGCAAACGGTAGCACTGGGCCCGTCGGTGGAGCTCCCCATGGGGACGAAACGCTGTACTGGGTGGGGGGGACGCATGCGGGCGGTAGCACTGGGACCTTCGGTGGAACTCCCTATGAGGCCACGAAGCGCTGCACTGGGTGGTGGGGGAACGCATGCGGGCGGTAGCGCTGGAACCTTCAGTGGAGCTCCGAATGGGGCCACGAAACGCTCTACTGGGTGGGGGGACGCATGCAAACGGTAGCACTGGGCCCGTCGGTGGAGCTCCCCATGGGGACGAAACGCTGTACTGGGTGGGGGGGACGCATGCGGGCGGTAGCACTGGGACCTTCGGTGGAACTCCCTATGAGGCCACGAAGCGCTGCACTGGGTGGTGGGGGAACGCATGCGGGCGGTAGCGCTGGAACCTTCAGTGGAGCTCCGAATGGGGCCACGAAACGCTCTACTGGGTGGGGGGACGCATGCAAACGGTAGCACTGGGCCCGTCGGTGGAGCTCCCTATGGGGCCACGAAATTATATACTGGGTGTGGGGGACGCATGCGGGCACCCCCTCTGGGGCCTTCGGTGGAGCTTCCCATGAGGCCACGAAACGCTGTACTGGGCGGGGGGGACGCATGCGGGCACCCCCACTGGGGCCTTCGGTGGAGCTCCCTATGGGGCCAGGAAGCGCTGTACTGGGTCCAGGGGACGCACGCGAGCACCCCCACTGGAGCCTTCGGTTGAGCTCCCGATGGGGCCACGAAACGTGTGAGGGGTGTGCCGAAACAGAGGCATGCGGAGGGCAGATGCGCAGAGGCGGAAGAGAGGAGGAGGGAGGGGGCAGCGGGAGGAGGAGTGGGACGCGGGGCGCTGTCTCTTCTCAAAACGAGGACCCAACGCCACAGGATGGTTGGGAAAAGCGATCACGAGCCAGAATGCGAGGGCGGCCTCAGGGATGCGCCATCAGGAGCTGCGGGGGGCCCCCAAGATCGGCTTCGACGCGCTTCGCGCGACGCGGCCCTCGGCGGGCCCTCGGCGGGCCGCTTCGCGGTGAGGAGGGCGGCGTCGTCGTCGTCGTCGTCGTCGTCGTCGTCGTCGTCGTCGTCGTCGTCGTCGTCGTCGTCGGTCGTCACGACGGGCGATCTCTGGCCACTCCTTGGGCTCCACGCGCCCTCGCCGGGCCCGGGACGGTCGGCAACACCGGAGCGGGATGAGGACAAACCGGTCCCGGGGAAGAGGCCCAAACCTTTGGGGGCCCGCGTCGTGGAAAAAAACAAGCCTGATCGCGCCGTGAAAAAATCAGGACGGGAGCTCTTTGGCCATTCTCGGCCTCGGGGGGCCCTCGCCGGGCCTCGGGACCGGCCAAAAACGACTCGGGATGACAAACCGGTCCCAGGGAAAGGGTCGGGACTTCCAGGGACGCCGGCCTGAAAAAAAATCGGGACGTCACACCTGGACCCCCAACGTCATGATGTCTTCATGACGCGACCCCCAGAAGTCCCGACCCATTCCCCAGGACAGGTCTTTCATCCCGAGCCGTTTTTTGACGGTCCCGAGGCCCGGTGAGGGCCCCCAGAAGCCGAAAACAGCGAAAACCTCCCGTCGTGAATTTGTCATGACCCGGGGGCATGTCCGGGACGACGCCGGGGGTCCGGGGTTGTCCTCTGTCCACCAGCCCGGCTCTCTTAGCCGCGGCTCTGGCGAACGCTGCGGGGGCGACGGGCCGGTCCCGCAGAGAAAAAACGGCCGCGGAGGGGGTGGTCGTCGAGGAGGCGGGGGCTGCAGGGCGGGATCTGCGAGGAGCGCGAGGGGGGGGCAACGACAGGGACAGAGGGTGAGGGGACTGCGCGGGGAGGAGGGCGGGATGGCGGGACAGATTTTGACGATGAGGATGATGATGCTGCTGCTGCTGATGATGACGATGACGATGACGATGACGATGACGATGATGATGATGATGATGATGATGATGATGATGATGATGATGATGATGATGATGATGATGATGATGATGATGATGATGATGATGATGGATGGCGATGATGGTGATGCTGATGATGATAAGGATGATACCGATGATGGCGATGATGATGCTGATGATGCTGATGATGATGATGGTGGTGGTGATGATGATGATGGTGGTGATGATGATGTCGATGATGGTTATGATTCCGACGATAATGATGATGACAATGCTGATGATGATGGTAAAGATGAAGCTGATGATGATGATGATGGTGATGATGATTGTGTTGCTGATGATGGTTTCGATAATGATGGAGATGGTGATGGTGCTGGTGGTCATGATGATGCTGGTGATGATGATGGTGCTGATGATGCTGATGATGGTGATGCTGATGATGACGACGATGACGATGGTGATGACGGTGAAGTTCATGTCAACGGCGGCGACGACGTTGATGCGGAACCTAATCATGTTGTGCGGACTGATGAAGATAGTGAT